TCAGCCGTCAGGCAGCCTTATCAGTGGCGCACGAGATGCGATGACGATGTATGTGTCATTGATTGCATTTGAATGCTTTTGTTAGCCTATCCAGTTGAACCCACTAGATGCGGCGCTGCTACGTTGTTCATTCATATATTGCGGAAAACGAGAGCATCAGTGTGGAGATGATGTTGTTTACGTCAAAACTGAAACCAAGCCGTTCACACAGAAAGCATATTTATCACATTTTCTAGAGGGACATCTATCAGCATTGCACTCGATGAATGACGTTGCACGGCGTGTTTAGAAAGCCATGCAAAATTAATGCAAGTTCAACTTTTAAAAAACATGTCTAAAGACGTTATGGCGGTTTTCCCCCATCCCACTGTATCTCATGTTTCTAAAAGTAGTCTACTCTTTGGGATTGGTTTTCGGTCCTTTGTATTAAACTATACATACATGCATGGTGCTGTTTTTTTTCTAATCGTTTAAGCAACTTTATTAATTATATATGGTTTATAAACATTATTTTAAACATTAAGCACTTTTTTTTCAAAGATAGACGTGTTATTTTATTACGCTTTGAAGAAACGTGCATAATATTTTGCTCGATGCGCCCTCTTGTGGCCTCAGGAGAGAAGCCAAAAGCTTTTTTTCCCCCCTAACTGAAATTATGCCTTTTAAATTCGAATATAATTCGAATTTTGATCATATTTAAGTAGAAAATTCGAATTTAGTTTTTCAGTCATTTTGACAGCCCTAGTTGTAACTTAGTTCACCTTTACATCAAAACTAGGCTATGTTGTAACTTACGAACAGCAGTGTGTTACACTTAAGCATGTAGGTCATGGTGCTACAGTACAGTGAGTCATTTGCTTACTGTAGGAGGGGAAGGAGAAATTCACTCACAGATGTAAACAGTCACTATTAGCCAAAGCAAATTTACTACAGGAACAGTCCACCTGGAAAACCAAGTCCCGATAGTTCATGACTTGTTCTTCACTAGTTCCTTATTTGAACCAGCAACCGTCCCATTACAAGCCCTGAGCTTTGACTGCTGCACCATAAAAGACACAATGCAAGTAAATCAGTGTGTAAATGCTGTGGAGTATTTTGGAGTGCTGTCAGGTTAGTGGGGCAGCGTGTGTGGGAGGAGAGTCCGTGTGTAGATGCGTGATGCGTGGGGGGAGCTCTATTTCAGGAAGACATGGAGCTGCCTGTGAAACACGCTGACAAGAAGAGTCTGGATCAGACACTAGGTGCACTGAAATGACCACACTGCAAATCTCTGGACATTCTACACCCAAATACGCTTCTGCTGCTGTTGATAACTCAGCAAACTCTCTCTCTCTCTCTCTCTCTCTGTGTGTGTGTGTGTGTGTGTGTGTGCTCGTAATGTGGTGAAAGGCAAAGTTTTTTTTTTAATTCCCATGATCTCAATATAGAATCTCCTTTCAGTTTGGACACAGCCCCCTCTCTCTCTTTCTCTATGTTTGTCTCTCTTTGTGGTGATTGTGCTCTCCAGAGGCGCAGTGGAAAATGTGATGTATTTCCCCTGGATTTAAAACATGTGGTTCCCTTCTGGCAGAAACGCCCAACTGACGAGACAGCGGGTGTTCCATCATACTGGGTTTTACTATCCGCATGTTTTTCTGTCAACCTTTTTTTGTGTATATAAATAGAGTGATGTGCCTTAAGATGCAATCACCTTACCAAAATTGCAAACACAGCTCGCACAGAAGTCATATTCAAACCTAGCACCTTCCTCTTGGTCCATGCGCTGAATTTGCATGACCAATTTGAACATGAGTGAATTCTGCCGTGGGGAACTTTTGCCCAACCGTGCAGTTTCCTATTAAAAATGACTGTATTCCACCTGCGAAATTTAGCCAAGCAACAGTAAATATCATTGCACCTTTAAAGGGATAGTTTACCTAAGAATATATTCTGGTATCTTTTATTCACATTCATGCCGTTCTAAACTCCTATGGCTTTTTTTCGTGGAACACAAATGGAAAAAGAAAATAATTTTTGAAGAATATCCTGGTCACTCTTTTATTAATATAATCAAATTGAGGATTAGGACTAGGGATACGTTTAATTTGGGAATGCTTCAATGTCAATTTATTCACGATTCTGACATCTTCCATAAACTGTCCTCAAAGTGGCAATAAAAGTAAAGGTGGATGTCAAAATGTGAATAATGACTGTTAATGAAAATGCTATCGTATATTGTCAGAAGACTTGGATTTATAATGCACAGTGTCAACTTTTATGATTCTTTTTTGTCATCTGGGAGATTTACAGCCCCAGTCCCCATTTACTCCCATTATATTGAAAGTGTAACCTGGATATTCTTCAGTTTTCTTCATATTTACCGTACGTGTTTTACAGAAGAAGAAAGTCATGTTTGGAATGACATGAAGGAGAGTAAACAATGACAGAGTTTCCATTTTTGGGTGAACTATTCCCATTCGTTTTGAGTCATGTTGCCATTTCATTCATTATAGTATGAACCTCAGTCACCTTTGTTCTTCATGGCACCTGTTTTTAGTCAGTGCTGAATATATAAATACAAAATCTCAAATTTTCCATGATTCAGTGCTTCCTGCCTTTCTGTGTATATATGTTCAATACCAGTGTGTGTTGCTCAGTGCCAACCCCCATCATATTGTGAAGACAAAACATTTCCATTTATCCCCTAAAGGATTGTTATAGGTCACATAAACACTGTAACACATACAGCAACTACTCAAAATGAAAAAAGCCCATCTGTGATCTCAGTGCCATCATATCTCACGCTCTGCAGTCAGACAAGCCTGGACAAATGGGGAACCATGTCTGCAACCATTTAAACAGACTCAATTGTGCAAGAAGTTTAATATCAATGTGTTTGTGTAGCTGTAATGACAAATGACCTCTCTCTCGTTTTCTCTCTATTTTCGTTGTAGGGCTGGAAGGGCTCCCCCTCATGGCAGGGTCAAAGACTACTGTGTTCACCCGCTGCTACAGAAGGTGAGTGATCAAGTGCATGCTCTCTGTATTTAAACACAGTATTTGCATCATTGATATGGCTTACAAAGTAGGGCTCTGCCATGAATACCTTCCTCAGAAGCATGTTTTTGATCCAGTTTTCTCCAAAGGCATGTCAGAAAATGTTTATTAAAGCATTCAAAGCCTTGAACCAAACCAGCCAGTTTCGAGAACATACAGTATACACAACAAACATTTGGTTTGAAGTAAATATTTGAAAATCTGGAAGACAAAGTGACAAAAACATAAGAATATGTATTTAACATCCTTAGGCCCGGTTTCACAGACAGGGCTTAGACTAAGCCAGGATTAGGCCATTGATCAATTAGGAAATTTAAGTAATTTTTATTAACATGCCTTAGAAAAGACATTACTGGTGTGCACCTTGAGACAAAACCAAGGCACTGATATATTTTAAGATCAATCAGTGCAAGTTTCTTTCAGTTAAAACAGCTCAGACTTACACTTTAGTCTGGAACTAGGCTTAAAGGTCCCCTGAAATGCTTAGAAAAACGCAGCGTTACTCTGTGTTGACGTCATTTTAACTGAAACAGGAAGACAGGGCGGGACATATCAAGCAGCCCCGCCCCTTTTTAAAATAGCCAATAGCGTTCGTTTATATCACAGCTTGGGCTAGAGCCGTTCAGAGCCGTTGAGCTCCGTAAAGCCACATTTGACAGGGTATGCCAGCCACAATCTCATCCATATTGCTATAAAATATAGCATTCTGTGTAGAATTCAAATAGCTCCGATACATTTTGTGGTCTGCGCCGACTCGCGCATGTGATCCGCTCCGTGCTATCGTTTCTCTGGACCGGAGCAGAGTGTGTGCGGTGCTGTGGTTAGCGGGACACAGTGCGAAACCAGACTTCTTCTTTTCCTCAATGGAAAGCATATTTACACTGTTTAAATCGTTCCCTGTCCCCTATATAGTGCACTACGTGCCATTCACTGTACAGAAAATACTAATTCTGTGGACAAGTGACCGATTTCAGCCGCGGCTTCAGCGTCTATTTTATAGTGTAGGGGGCGGGCGCTTCGGATTCTAGAGAGCATTTGATTGGACAGAAAGTTTGACGAGAAGCTGAAGTACGATGTGACGTCAAAAAAAATCGTTGAGCCGTTTTGGCGGAAGTGACGAACTGCAAGCTTTGAATGCTTATATCGTCTAAATGCGAATTTTGACACTGTTTTGGAGCACACTGCCTTATAGATAACCTTAAGACTAACATATTGATACTAACACCCAAAAAAACTTTAATTTTGATTTCATGGGGACTTTAAGCTTTGTCTGTGAAACGGGGGGTTAGTGTATCATACTTAAATGTATCAATTGTATCAAATGTTACAGAGTCTGGATTTACTACTGTCTTTTCTGCTTTAATACTACAATATCCCACATTAACTAACATTAGTTAGCTAGTTAGCTAAACCCTAAAAAGCTATAAAGACTAGAGCAATTTCCATTGGATCATGCTTCAGGATTGTATTTATTTACGTTTATCTAAAGTGACTTGCTTTACATTTGAGGTACACATTTGGTCATTCCTTGCTTTCACTGGGAATTGAACCCATGACCTTGGCATTGCTAATGTCATGCTGGTAGTCTTGGAAAGTTTGCATGTTATCACTATAAATATATGTTCTTACTGAGATTTTAAATGGCACTTTTACTTCTGGGACTGTAATGTTGATCAGTGTGTTCTATTTAAAATCAGATGTGGGATATTCCTACTTATTATCTTTGGCATAATAGGTTTCTGTTGCTCAGAAGACGACAAAAAAAGAAAGAAAAAAAAAAAGCAATTATATTTATATAGCTGTGCAGGTGTTCCACTGTCAACAAAGAAACCTATACAGCATACGAAGAGTTCTGGACCAGAGCTGTACCATCTACGGGACAGCTGGAAGCACCAGGATATGCACTGACACTAAACTGTGATGTACAGTGACGTCCTCTGACTCCACAGTGCGTCCGTCTGTTGTTCGCTCAAGAGAGAGCATTCATAACTAATGGTGCAGTAGTGTGATGAATTCTCCCATCATTCAACAGGGCCACGCATACTGTCATTACAATACTGCCCCCTGCTGGCAATCTACCCAATTAAAAGGTAATTGTAAGATTTCAGAGTTTAAAATAAGAATGTGACAATTATAAGAAAGCCACATTGTGAATAAATTTGCAATTAAAAGAAACAAAGTCACAATTGCAAAATTTCTTTTTTTTGTGATCTGAAATCCAAGTTGGAAGATATAAAGTTGCATTTGTGACCCTGGACCACAAAACCAGTCATAAGGGTCAATTTTTTGAAATTGAGATTTATACTCAAAACTGATGTCCTCTGACTCCACAGTGCGTCCGTCTGTTGTTCGCTCAAGAGAGAGCATTCATAACTAATGGTGCAGTAGTGTGATGAATTCTCCCATCATTCAACAGGGCCACGCATACTGTCATTACAATACTGCCCCCTGCTGGCAATCTACCCATTCACTGTCCACAAACAGAGGTGGCCAAAATGATTACACTAGTATTTTCAGCAGCTAAAAATGGTATTAAGTCAGTTGTTTCTATCTTTTGCTGTAGTGGGTCAGTAAGAAATATCAGTTTAGATTTCCAAACATTCATTTTGCCTTTAATTGTAATAATCCAGTGAGATTTTTGTATGTCAGCAGCCAGTGCTCCACACAGCGATCTGATCTGATCATCATCCAGTCTGTCTGGAATGACACAAACTGAGACAGACTAGTTTTTGGTAGTTTTTTGAAGGCTCAATTAATTACTAGTGAGCTCTAACTGGACTGCACTATTGCCGTACATTTGGTTACTATACATCTAATGGCCATTTATGTGTCTGCAGACGTTACAGTGGTGTATCAGAACGGCTTGCCGGTGATCTCCGTACGTCTGCCGTCCCGACGAGAACGCTGCCAGTTCACCCTCAAACCCTTGAGCGACACGGTGGGTGTTCTCCTTCAGCAGCTGCAGGCGGAGGACAGGGGCATCGATAGAGTCGCCATCTACTCTACAGGTAGAGCTCAACACAAGATCTCCGAAATCTAAAGCCAAATCTAGAAGACAGTCAAGTTTTGGTTTAACCTTTTGCTGAAGGTTTCCCAGATGTTTATGGTGTTTACATGACAGTTGTGATTTTCTTCATGTCTTGCTGACCCCAGCGGTAATAGTATACAAATAACACAATGATAACAGAGTTTTCATTTTTTTGGTGAACTAGCCCTTTAAGAATAGTCAGCTCACATTCAAACACATTCATTGTTCTCAGCTCTGGGGGCAAAATTAAATTCAAATTGAAGTTATTAGCAAATTCTTTTGTGGTTTAAGCCACAAGTCGCAGATGAGCGTGTGGTTTTCTCTGACATGTTTAATTGATCGTACATCTTCTAATCTAATTGAGGAGCAAGAATCATTTGTACTCTGTGCAAACTGCATATCTGCTCTGTTTCAAGCTCAATTATTCCCGTGTGAGAGGCACTTGTGCTTTCTTTACCTCTCTCTGTTTCACCTCAGATTGGAAAATGCTTCTTTTCCTGATGAGCATATTAACGCAGAGCAGGAAACCTTTGCGATAAGCATTGAGATTGGCTCTCGTATTACATAACCATTTCAGTGAGAGGATTGCGTTCCGCTAATTTCCCTCCTTCTCTCTCTATAGATGGAGCAAGAATAGCGTCCTCGACAGGAATGGACATTTTACTTATGGACAGCTTTAAGCTAGTCATTAATGACACAACATATCTGGTGCAGCCGCCCAGGAGAGGTGAGTGTGCCCTGTTGCATTGTGGGTCATTCTGTGCAAGACTTTGCAGAGGCCCAGCGGAGTTTTTGATATTCTGTTGGCATCCGTTGCAGATCTGCTACCGCACGAGGAAGCGGAGCGACTGAACGATGTCAAGTTCTTGGTGCAGCAGCTCTACACCACCCTGTGCATAGATGAGCATCAGCTCACCAAAGAGAGAGAGCTGATTGGACGACTAGAGGACCTCAACTCTCAGCTCCTGCCCTTGGAGAAGGTGAGCTGTTTGGATTAATGTCACCAAAACACAAAACACCTGACCAATTTATTCTCCTCAAACTGGGAGTTTTTCTTTTTGCCATTTTAACCTATTTTGCACTGTCTGGTGGAAATTGTTTTTACTTCAGAGAGAGATATATATTGTCCAAATGAAGTCCTTAGCAATGCATATTACTAATCACAAATTACGTTTTGATATATTTACGGTAGGAATTTTACAAAATATCTTTATGGAACATGATCTTTACTTGATATCCTAATGATTTTTGGCATAAAAGAAAAATCAATAATTTTGACCCATACAATGTTTTTTTGGCTATTGCTACAAATATACCCCAGCGACTTAAGACTGGTTTTGTGATATAAAGTCACATTGCAAAAAATATAGAGTATGTGTTGCAATTATAATGGCAAAGTGTGATATAAAGTCATAAATGAGATATATGGTCAATTACCTTTTTAGTTTTTTGTACTCTGTGGTGCCAACAGTCAATTTTTGTCCAGCAATGCTACGGAGTTAAAAAAAGATGTAACTTATGCAAATGAAGCAGCAATGTGACGCGACGGCTGAAGTGAAGACAGTGAAGCTCTCGTGATTCATCTTCCGTCAAAGAAAATGGAGAAGTTAATGTTACTGTAAGCAGTTTCCCTGCTCTTGATGATTCGTCTCTGCCCACATGCAGAGATATAATGAAAAATGATCCGTGGAAAACAGAAATTGAGAAATTGAGCAGAATTGATTCCTGCGCTGATAAATAATCTTGTTCACAATATGGTGTATTACGAACTGTTGGAGTTCGTGTAAACGGTTTTTGCCCTGCGTTATGTAAATTTACAGTATAGTATATCAACCAACATATCATTTGTGATGAGGTTTTCAAAAGCTATGGCCAATAGCAGTTCACTAATAACATTATTGCTTCCAGCAGAATAGCCACTTTGACCAAGAGTACAACCACTTGATTCAATCCCAGTCCTATTTCTGTCATATTTCAGGTGCTAAACTGTGTGGTGATTAGATGTGTATTTGATCTGAATTGGGAACTCTACTACACTGGTTCTGTGGTTGCCTCTTCAGATGACTTTTTAAGTTTGCAGATCTCACTAACAATTTTTTTTTTGTGGTTACTGAACATCTAAAAATGTATGCAAAAATATATTTTAAGACTTTTCAGTGTAAATGGAATCATAAACTGGAAAAAAAAATGACATTTATGTACTACATTTCTTATTAGTTCCACCAACCACTGAACTGCACACACAGGATTGTGGGAAATCATAGACAGCAAAAGTGATACTAACACACATTATCTGATCATAATGATAACTGGTAATTAAGCTGAGGATCTAATTGCACAGTATATTGAGTGTGTAGAAGAGAGGGGTTTTACACACTGAGAGCTGTCTGAATACTGCTAATTTTGTAATTGCAAAGTTTTGTGAAAGCAACTGAGCCTTGCTTTTGGGAGTTTTGTGTTCTTTAGCATTATAAATGAGCAAAACTGAACTAATAAAGCCCACAACTATTTCTTTGAAGGAACTGAAAACCTCACTGACTTTTGAACGGACTGGCCACTGTTTGTTTGTTTGTTCCACAAGGACAGCTAAATAAAAAGGCTTATTAACTCTTAAAAGGGAGAAGGTTGTGTGTCTTTAGTCTTCTGGTGCATTTTGATGTTAATGTGACACATTCTCGATTAACATTTGCCTAATTTTACTGAATCTTGCATATAATACTTGTCTATCCACAAATGTTTATAATCTATGAACAAATGTTTGTGTGTATATATATATGTGCTGTCAAACGATTAATCGCATTCAAAATAAAAGTTTGTTTACATAATATATATGTGTGTAGTGTACTGTGTGTATTTATTATGTATATATAAATAGACACACATACATGTATATATTTAAGAAAAATATTTTGCTTATATATTAAATATATTTATATATAATATAAATTATATGAATATAAAATGTATACATATGAATAATACATGTAAATATTTTCAAAATATTTAGTGTATGTGTGTGTATTTATATATACATTATATGTAAACAAAAACATTTATTTTGGATGTGATTAATCACGATTAATTGTTTGACAGCACTAATAAATAAATAAATATATATATATATATATGTATGTACAAACATTTGTGGAAAAAATGGGTCATATACTCTGTATTTTTATTTTTTTACTTTTTTTTTAATGATTTTATTTATAACAGTTTTTATATAAACATAAAACAAATAAAAGTCTCACAAAAGGTATACAAAAATTATACTATACACAAAAAAGAGAAAAAACAAAACAAAAGAGACCCCCCACCTACCCCCCACGAACAGGCACCAGATACAATGAAAAATATACACCTTAAACAAAGGCATACGTAATCAAACATAAACGAAACATTAAAGATGGAGTGAAGGAATAAAACAGTGAAGCTATCTATTCAACTCTTATAAAGATACCTAAGGAAGGGGCCCCAGATTTTATCAAATTTTTTAGAAGCATCAATCTTGGAAAAGCGAATCCTTTCGAGCTTGAGGGCGGCAACCATCTCCGCTAACCATTCATGAAAACTGGGCGGTAAAGAGGACTTCCAATCCATCAAAATCACCCTTTTAGCTACCACCATACCAAACATAAGAGACAATTGCTGAGAATGTGTTAATGCTAATTTAGGGTCAGAACATCCAAGCAAAGCTAATTCAAGATCTGGACTGATATCTTCTCCAAAAACATTTGAATACTCTCTATGTCTTTTTAAATATATATCACGTTAACAAAAATGAATAAATACTGTAACAAATATATTGCCCATTGTTAGTTCATGTTAGTTAATGCATTAATTAATGGGACCTTATTGTAAAATGTTACCCAGTAAACGTTAAATTCATTTTTAAATGTTAACATGTAGGCAGTCGTAAGAAATTCTTCAAAACATAGCAAAATCTAGTGTTGACAGCACAGTAGCATGCTGGTAAAATGATATTTTTGAACGTTTGCAATATCTTTTGTAATCTCGTGTTCTCAGGTTAAAGAAGAGCTGAGTAAGAGAGCCGAGCGCAGGACTACATGGGTGCTGTGGGGTGGGATGGCATACATGGCCACACAGTTTGGCATTCTGGCACGGCTGACCTGGTGGGAGTACTCATGGGATATCATGGAGCCCGTCACGTATTTTATCACCTATGGTACAGCAATGGCTATGTACGCTTACTTCGTGCTGACACGTCAGGTGAGCAGCTCCAACTCTTTATCCCCACACTTTCAGAAGGTCTCTGTGAATACACGGGAGGAGGAGATCCGTCTGACCTCTCTGCTGTCGTTCTCTCACACAGGAATATCTTTACCCAGACGCCAGGGACAGACAGTACCTGCTGTTCTTTCATAAGGGAGCGAAGAGAACACGCTTTGACATTGAGAAGTACAACAAACTGAAGGATGCGATTGCTGAGGTAAGCTAGTTCACACACAAACATCGCACGAGTCGCTCCTTTCGTTCTCTTAAAGGAACAGAACTCAGTAGACATGTGCGCAATATTATGGTTTAGTGCAGTAAAGAATATGTATGATTTTGTTAGCTTGGACACACAGTGAATAAAGCATTTTTTTTCCATAACAAGATAAACTTACAGCATTGTCATGGACAGCAGTGAATATATTTGACTACTAAATGCCATTTAAAGATGATACTATTCCCCTTTCAGAGTAATATATTCATAATTCATAATGTGCTTAATTTTCATTTTAATCAGCAAATGTTCTGTCACATGAAATGCTAATTGTTATTTTGCATATTCAGCTATCTATAAATCATCATTTATCTGAGGATTAATTTTCTTTAAAAAGTCCCCCACACACAAAAAAATTTTCAAGATTCTTTTATTTATTTATATATATATTTTTTAATACATATCTGTTTTAGATTCAATGTAAACACTATGCTTTGGCAATACATTGTAACAATTGTCATGTCAATAAAGCACATATTGAACTGAATTGAATTGAATTGAGATATATATGTTGGTGTTAAAAAAACTAAAATATCACACATTACAATGTTTCTCGTCTGTTTTGTAGGTGCAGACAAAACATGAAAAAAAAAAACTTATGTATGACCCAGGGGACATGAGTAGATGTATTAATGTTTATTAATGTTTACTTGTATTTTACAGGGTAATTTTATTTTTAATAATTAAGCACAAACTATCAGTCAAAACTTTGGATTTTTTTGGGGGGGCGATTTGATGAAAAATACAGCAAAGACAGTAATATTGTCAAATATTATTACAATATAAAATAACTTCTCCATTTTAATTTTTTTTTTAAATATAATTTATTCTTGTGATGCAAAGTAAGTCCAAAACCAAACAAAACAAGGTAAATTCAAAACAAAAAAGAAAAAGTAAAAAAAAACTAATATGGCACAAAATAATTCTATTTCTAATCAGTGTTGTTCTTTTGAACTATAATATTTATCAAAGAATCTTGAAAAAAAACATTGTTTTCACAACATTATAAAGCAGCAAAAACTGCCTAAACTTTGATAATAATAAGAAACATTAATAATTGAGCACCAATAATCTCATCAGCATATTAGAATGATTTCTAAAGGATCATAAGTGGGATGAACTGCCTGATTCTGCTTTCTACATATTGTTTTTGCCATCAGTCATTAAAAGAAAGCTAAAGAACCCTTTAATAAAAGTCTTTTTTTAGTGCTTTTATTTTGAAAGCCCCTGATTTGCTGTATGGAGAAGAACAGCATGAACATTCTCTCCAACATCTCCGTTTTTGGGGTGCTCTGTTCCTTTAACCAAATTCATTCGTCCTATTTTCTCTCTGTGCCTCAGGCGGAGTTGGATCTAAAGCGTCTTCGAGACCCGCTGCAGTTGCAGCTCCCTGTCCAGCAAATCAATGCCAGCGAGGACTGAGAACCTGAAGCCCTTTCATTCTCTTCTGCCTCTTTGCGTTTTGTTTTCTGTCTCTTTTTATCTTTTTGCTTTATCTCTACAACCTCAATGAAAAACCAGATCCACAGCAAGCTTCGGAGTTTTATTATCCTTTTTATTGTGTCCTTTAATTTGGCAAGTCTATGCAGAGGAGAAGAGATACAATTAAACGAAACGACAAAACTCGTTTCGTTTGTGTGACGATGCTCGCAACAGGAGCACACGGAGAAGGACTTCAGACAGGAAGTTGAGACATTGGGATTGAACCAGTACATCGCTATGAGACAATGACCCCACGTCTTGCATGGGAAAGGACTCTCAAAAATCTAAAAACCATCTGCCCTTGGGTTGAACAGTTTTTTTTCCACATTGGAGTACTGCTGATATCCCTAACTCTGACACTTTGCAGAAGAGATTTCGGGATGTGGTGCTCTTTTCCGTCTCTGGAAAAGATCCGTTTACCATCGAGCCAGTCCTCTTGTGGCTGAAAGGCCTGTACGTAACAGCCTTTTGATTTCTTTCTCGCTTCCTTACGGACCTGTTAAGACAGATCTAACAGCTAAAATATCACTGTGTGTTCTATTATTCCAAAAAGAAAACGAATCAAAGAATTTTTGGCACTTTTTATTTTAAAAGCCATATTATGTTTATTGTGATGATGGAAAAAAAGAGAAATGAGTAGAAACTTTTCTTCTCATTATTAGATTTTTTTTGTTTTTAATCATGCAACCAGACATTACATATCTGCAGATGCTCTGATATTTTATTTTCTGAGATCCCCCATCATAAAACGAAGCTCGAAAAGTCCATCCCTAACGCTGTGAGCCTGAAATATGATACACCCCATTGGTTTACATGTTGATGCGAAATGCAGATGGATCCTCTTTAAAGGTCTTCTCTCTTCTCTATAAATCTTCTTTGGAACATCATCAAATGACATTTTCCCACAGTGCCTCGCAGCATCTGCTGCAGCGTGCTTGTTACGAAACACCTGTTTTTTATCAGACACGATCCAAGAAAATGACCCATCGAACGGTCTTAAGGCAGGTCACTGTAAAATGTGATTTATTTTGCTGGAAAAAGGTTCCGGATGTGATCAGCTTCCCATCATTCATGTGGCGTTTTTAGCTGCATATATCTGCCTCGTATGCCAAGTCTTATGGGACATGCAGAGAACGTGTAATATATTAGATCTAGAATTAGAGTGTGTTTTGCACACTTCGTGGCATGCTATAGAGAGAGAGCGTCTATATGTGCTATCTTTAGCCGACAGGCCTTAGCAATGATTCTAGCTGGGTTGAGCTTGAGCGTCGACATCGTTTTCATTGGTTTTGCCATGCATTTTCAGTCCAGTTAGTATATGAGATTATGCTATTAATGCTATTATAAAAACAAAGTTCTCTCCATCATTTCCACAAAGATGGGCAACCAGACTATTTAAATCTAAGGGGTGTGAAACAGACTTGACTCTGGTTGCTCTCTAACAAAATGATCATATCAAGTCTTGAAATTGGTTTTTGGGCCATTATCGTTACCCATAATCCTGTTGTCTATTGTGGGTTTGCCCTACACACTCAGACCCCCGTGGAGAAATAGCTCTGTTGTTCTGTAGCAGAAGCCCGGCTGTCCATGTTTGTGCCTGTGGTCGCCATTAAGCGTTTTTTAAAGCCATATTCATGTTGCGTTTGTGTCTTTATAGGTGGAAGGGGCACATAGAGTCTCAAATCCCCTTAGCAGCAGCAGCTTGTGTCCATTCTTACCATGTTTAAATATTACAGGGTGAGATTCCAGCCTACAACTCTAATAGAAGGTACATTAAAAGAAAGAGTTCCTCCAAAAACCAGTTGTTTCTGTGAAACTCAAAAGGAGAAATTTAGTAGAATGTTCTTGCAGCTCATTTCTATACAACATTCATACTGACCACGGCCGTCAATCTTTTAAAAATCCTTCATTAGTTAATAGGACTCTATATACCAAGTCTTCTGAAGCCATGTGAAAATTTTGAGGAACAGATTGACATTTTTCTAAAATGGCGATTGTGTTTAGTTTCATTTTTAGATTCAAACGCTGATGTTTCATGTTTCAGTGTTGGGAAATGGGGAAGATTTTTAGCAGTTGATGACTGAAATGGATGGTTCAACCAAAAATTATAATTTTTGTTAAAGTTTATTTACCCTCATTTCTGTTCATCCATTCAAAATTCATCCAACCAAATCTTTGACGTATCAAAAAGTAAAAAAAAAAAAGAAATGTTTGTATGAATCAAGTGGTTTAATTCACATTTTCTAAAGAGACATGGACGCTTATAATGAAGAGATTTAATTTAGTCTTTTATCAATACTTTGTTCAATGCATATAAACGGAGCTCATCAAATATGGCAAACGGAAGCTCCACGTTATTTGCTTAAAGTGTGAGAAGGTCAAACATTCTTGTGTGACACAAGAACAAACAAAATTGGTAAAATTATTGTAAAGTGTTACCAATTTAATTGTGTTCATCATATAAAGTAATTGTGTCTCTTCAAAAGACTTGGATTGAATCACTTGATTCATATGGATTGATGCACCAATGTTTTTGTTGTGTGGACTTTCAAAAGATGAGCGAATGTTAAAAATATCCTCATGTGTTGTTTTGAAGAATCTTCTAGGTTTAGAATGACATAAGGGTGAGTAAACAATTCAAAGCTATTGTATGACTTCAGGAGACCTGGAATATAGCCTCTGAATCATGTAAACTACTTCTTGTTGGTCTTTTTAGAGCTTTTTAGAGGTTTAGAAAAGAGAACTAAGAACTGTGAAAATTCTTCAAACTTTCTCTGTTTTGTGTTTATTGGGAATAAAAAACAGCATCGGGTCTGGAATGACATGGTAAATAATGACAGAAATATTTGGGGATCATAATCCATAATTTGGATTTTGCATGTCTGGCTAAAAGTGTAAGTGTTGTGATGGATGGCCTTTAACAGTGACTATTTATTGTTGGTGAGGAGTTCAGGTCATTGGGAGTTACTCGGTGTGCTTGAGTGAATTACCTTGTGATTTAACACAGCAAGATCTGAACTGTAGGTGATTTTTTTTTTTTTTAAGGATAACAGCTTGATAACTGCATTATGTCTGACCCAGCTGCTTTCAGGGGAGATGCTTCTCTCTTTTATCAGAGTCTGTTTGAACAGGGTTTATCAGACTGAAATTCAAACTGTGGTTCCATCACTCTAGACGTAGCTGATGGGTACAATACACATGCATATCCACTATTGGTCCGGAAACAACATTGAGGCATAGTGCTGAACCTAAGCATTAATCACTCTAAAGGAAATGAGCGACTGATTATATGAATGTTCATAATCCTTAACCTAAACCTTAAAATCTGTTTGGTCTATAAAGGATCAATAAAGAATGTTGACTGAAGGCAGAATCAAGGTCACGGTGCACATTTGTGACAATATGCAGTTGGTGTGAGCATCTCGTCTCAGACTTCATGAATTTTCTGTTCATGCATAACCTTCGTCCATAGCGGTCAAAATCAGCCGATGCATCATGCGCATAAAAAACATCCATTCTTCCTCACTTACTGTGATCAACAGTCTGTGATCAACAGTCATAAATTCATCCTTTATAAACACACTCCAAAGTTATTTCAGGGCAAAAAGTCAGCCATCTCACTCTCCAAGATGCCCAGTACACTTGACATCCCTCGACCTACTGAACATCTATAAGAGGTCTTGGGACTGGTCATTATCTGATAAGTTGAACTTCTTTTTGTTTATTTGTAGGGTTTTCGGTTTGTTTCAGGGTTTTTAAAAATAATAATATATCAAATATATGGAATCTATTCTAAAGCGGGTGTTGCATGAATGTATGTTTACATGGGGAAATTACATATAAATGAATCAAAAAAGCAAAGATTACTATGAATGCTGATTGCAGATGAACAGACTCCTGGTTCATCAAGAGTTTGATTTTTTGATTTTTGATTTTTCCAACCAATCTCTCACCCTTCATGATCCAGCAGCAAGTACGCTCTTGACAGCTGCAAGGCTCTAATTGGTCAAGGATCTCTTCTACATCATGTCTTGTTTTATCCTGTCTTTGCTCTCTCGATCTCAATGCTGCTGCTCGATCGCTGCAGTGCTGCCTTTATTCTGATCTGAGAACAGAGAGTATGGAAGACCTGACCTTCTCAAATGCCCCTCGCTCCATCCATTTGCCTGTCTTTCTTTAGCTCCTTATTATACTCCCACACTGATTATCTTTTAGTTATGTGTATTATTTTTTTTACGTTTTCATCATGTGCACTTAAAATGAAAATTATATTTTGGGGAAAAAAAGGTAATGGGTCATGCTGAATGAAAAACATTTTTCATATTCTTTATTTGTTCATTTTGTCATTGGCATTGGATGTTAGAAGAATTCAAAAATGACAATGTAAAATCCTGTATCATTTATGAAATGTGTATAAAAGAGAAATGTAATTCAATTATCAATAAACACTTATCCAGTTTTGGAACCGGTAGTGATTTTATTTATTTATTGTAAATTCTAATTATTTATAATGCAACATTTTCAAACATAGTGTTGTGACCAGTTACAGAACATAAAATACACACATTCAGTTATAAAGCAGAGTATATATGATATTATATATTATATTATATTTATTATATTATAAAATCTTGACAACTATTCACTGCTATTATAAAGCTTGGAAGAACCAGGACATTTTTTTTTTTTTTAAATATAACTTCGATGGTATTCATCTGAAGGAAGAAAGTGATATACACCTAGGATACACCAAATCATGGGGTAGTTTTCATTTTTGGGTGAACTATCCCTTTAATCATCCATCACAATGAGAAAAACCAAACAATATAGTTCTGATGTGCAGCAAAAGATTGTTGAGCTTCACAAATTAGAAAGTAGCTGTAAAAAAAGAGCTAAAGCACTGAAAATTCCCATTTCCACCAAATCTGCCTGAAAGAGAACATGTCTACACTGTCTTAAAGCAAGGCGAGGAGGACAGTTTGAATGGCCAAAGATTCTCCAAGGATCACAGCTGGAGAATTGGAGCAAATAGTTGAGTCTCTGGATCAGAAAGTAAAAAAAATATATATATATACTATATATCAAACAGCACCAATATCACTACATTTTTTAGAGGGTTTCAAGAAAAAATGAAAATGCTCTCATCCAAAAACAAACTCCAGCATATTAATTTGCCAGACACTACTGGAACTTCAAACTGGACTGGGCTCTATGTTCAGATGAAAAGTACAAAATTAGATTTTAGCAAAAAAAAAAAGTACTCAGTGTGTACACTGTATACTGCCAGAGATCCTGGACAGATTGATGGCATCACGGATTTGATCAAACACAGACAGATAAAAAATCAAAAGACTAATCCCTGCTAGAAATCATATAATAGGCCAAGGTTGGATCTTCCAACAGGACAATGATCCAAAAACAAACATAAAAATCAAAACAAAAATGGATCACTGAGCACAAAATTAAGCTTCGGCCATGGCCATCCCAGTTCCCTGAGCTGAACCCTGAAGAGGAGAAGCACCCACATGGAGCTGGGAGTATCTGCAGACTATCTGTATGAAGGAATTGTCTCTGATCTCTTGCCAGATGTTCTCCAAACTCATCAGGCAATATAGGTGAAGACTCGAGCTGTTATCTTGGCAAAAGAAGACTGGATCTTAGCGCTGCGTTCGACACTATTGACCACAACATTCTTTTGAATAGACTAGAAAACTTTGTTGGCATTAGTGGAAGTGCATTAGCATGGTTCAAATCGTACTTATCTGACCGTCATCAATTTGTAGCAGTCATCAATGAAGAGGTATCATATCGATCACAAGTGCAGTATGGTGTACCTCAAGGCTCAGTACTAGGGCCGTTACTTTTCACGCTTTACATGTTACCCTTGGGAGATATCATCAGGAAACACGGTGTTAGCTTTCACTGTTATGCTGATGATACTCAGCTTTATATTTCTTTGCGGCCTGGCGAAACATACCAATTTGAAAAACGAATGGAATGCATAGTCGATATAAAAAACTGGATGACGAGTAATTTCTTACTGCTAAATTCTTAAAAAATAGAGGTGTTAATTATCGGACCTAAAACCTCTGCATGTAATGACCTAGAACACTGTCTAACACTTGATGGCTGCTCTGTCAATTCTTCGTCATCAGTTAGGAACCTTGGTGTGCTATTTGATAGCAATCTTTCCTTTGAAAGCCACGTTTCTTTTAAAGGATGAGATTAAAATTAAAAATGTAGATGATATTCACCCTCTGTTGTGTTTTATGATTAAAGTTAGTAAAATGAACAGAGTAGATAACTTGATAGGTCGAATAAATAATATATTCAAAGAAATTAAGGATACGGGTTTATATAACATTAAAACAAAATGGGAAATTGAATAGATAATAAAATAACAGAAGGAGACTGGAAACAAAGTTTAAAAGAAAATGTAAGCACTACGCAATCTCCATATTGGTAAGAGAATGCTTGGAAAATCAATATGCGATATTTTATAACACCAGAAATATCTTCCAAATATAATCATTTATTTTCAGCATGTTGGAGAAGCTGCGGTGAACTTAAAGCCCATTATACTCATATATTTTATACTTGCAAAATAATAAAAACATTTTGGACAGAAATAATTCAGGTAATAGAAGAAATGATTAACAAATCAAATATAATAAAGATACAAAATATAGTTTTGGCTATAGGACCTACGCTACTTAGTAAAGATGAGTTATATTTATTTAGAATGCTGAGAATTACAGCTTTTATAACAATAACAAAATTTTGGAGAAGGCAAGAATCCCCTGTTTTAAATGATTGGTTAGATTTACTCTCTAAAGTACACTCTATGGAGAGGATAACATATGAAATTAAGAGTAAAAGTATACATTTTGAAAAGATACGGGCACCTTTAAAATAAAAGTATACATTATAAAATAAAGGAATACATATACTAATTACCTCTATATAATTCTACCTCCCTTTTAATTTATTAATTAATTATTTTTATTTAATTAATATTATAATGAATTAGTCTTAAATAATATTATTTGAATTACTTATTAGGAATTAGGTGTCATTATAAGAGTTTGATATGAATATGTGGATGATTTTTTCTCTCTACTTTTTTATATGAAAAAGTGCTTAGGTATATATTGGTTATTGTTCTAATTATTATTATTATTTTTTTTTCTTTATGCATTGGTGATGGGTATTATCACAAAAGAAAAAAAAGTGAGGGAAGAGAAAGTAGAAGGAAAAATTAGGAATAATAATTGGTAAAAAATATGATGTCTTTAAAGGAAATGTTAATTTGTATAACTGTATTAAATGTGCTTGAACTGAAGGACATAATAAAGTATAAAAAAAAATGAAAGCCACGTTTCTAGCATTTGTAAAACTGCATTTTTTCATCTCAAAAATATATCTAAATTACGACCTATGCTCTCAATGTCAAATGCAGAAACATTAATTCATGCGTTCATGACCTCAAGGTTAGATTATTGTAATGCTGCAAATTGTATTTGATAATACCTAGAATATCAAAATCAACTGCGGGCAGCAGATCCTTTTCCTATTTAGCGCCCAAACCGCCTTCTTAGACATCGTTAGAAGAATGGCATCTACGCTAATATTAGTCTGTTTCTCTCTTATTCCGAGGTCACCATTGCCACCAGATCCAGTCTGTATCCAGATCAGATGGTCACTGCAGTCACCCGGATCTAGTACGTATTCAGACCAGATGGTGGATCAGCACCTAGAGATGACCTCGAGAGCCCTGAATATCAGCGGAGATCAGGACAACTAGATGAGCCCTAGAGACAGATCCCCAGTAAAGACTTTGTCTCAGACGGCCAGCGGGACAAGACCACAGGAACCAGATGAGTCCTCTGCACAATGTGACTTTGCTGCAACCTGGAATTGAACTGCTGGTTTCGTCTGGCCAGAGGAGAACTGTCCCCCCAAGTGAGCCTGGTTTCTCCCAAGGTTTTTTCTCCATTCTGTCACCGATGGAGTTTTGGTTCCTTGCCGCTGTCGCCTCTGGCTTGCTTAGTTGGGGACACTTCATTTCCAGCGATATCATTGACTTGATTTCACAGACACTATTTAAACTGAACTGAGCTGGACGATGACATCACTGAATTCAATGATGAACAGCCTTTAACTGAAAATTTAGTATTTACTATTGTCATTTTGCATTATTGACACTATTTTCGTATTTAATGCTGTACAGTTGCTTTGACACAACCTGTATTATTAAAAGCGCTATGTAAATAAAGGTTACTTGACTTGACTGCAAAAAGTAGGCCTATTGAATAAAAGGGTATCATTAATTGTGGCCAACGTGTAAGTGAAGAAAAAAAAAAGCATTTATTCAATAAGATTTTCCTCCCATTTTAAGTTCTTACTCTCCAATTAAAGGCTAGATTTTTGTAATTTAAAAAAAAATAAAAGATCAAAAGGATGATCCTTTTCACAGGTTTCTTTGTTCTCTATATGTAATAAACTCTATATGTAATACATTTTCATGTGAACTGGACTAATAACATACTAGATATAATAACATACAGAATAATAACAACAGGTCATAATAACAGTGAATGCTTTGTTTCTAATTAAGCTGCAGCACTTGTTTTAGAGTCATGTTTACCTCAACAGTGATGTTCGCCTTGACCTGCTCGACTCCTGCTTCTTCCCACATTTAGCTCAACTTCCTACCAGATAGCAGGCTTCTGTCTGTACACAGTGTCCAGCAGCATACTCTAAACTGCATTAGTAAGCAATCAAATGCACTTAAAGAAAATGCATCTTCTCTACCTACTGTACGTGAAGAAAGCAAGACTATTTTTCTCCCATGGTTTCATTCTTGCAAAGTCTGCATTTACTCTGATATTTTGTGACTGATCATAAGCAACAAGGAAACAGGATTAGCCTACTAGGCAGGCCAGAAAAGAAGAACCCTCTCTTCTTTTCTTAAATGTGAAAAAAACACACTAAAAAAGACACATCCATGCTTGTTAAGCACTAAGACTTGAGAAAACCAGCAGCACCTCTCCATTATACCATAACCTCCATAACCTTCAGACACTTTCCTCCACTCTGTGCTAATGACACCAATAATAAGCACATTGTTCTGCCTTTCCTGTAATGCTGTGAAGGACAAAGGAAAGACGACAAACTTCACAAAGTGCAAAGCTAAGTCTGACTGATTACTGATTAATGAATGGCTTAAAGGAGTAGTTCTCTTCAAAC